CTTTCTCCTTGTTGAATCGATGCAAGTAGTCACGTAAGGATTCGTTATGTCTTTGTACTACACGATATAAGTCACTGGTTTGCTTCTCCAATGCTCGACTACTCGCAAACTGCTGGGTGAACAAGTTAACCAGATCTGCGAAGGAGTCGATGCCGCCATTCGGCAAGTTGACGAACCATGTTAACGCTGGACCCGTCAGTGTTGTCCCGAACGCCTTGCACATGCACGCTTCCCGTTGATCCGGCCTGACAGAAATAGCTAACATCCGTTGCTTGTACTGAGCGACGTGCTCTACCGGATCTGTGGTTCCGTCGAACAATTTCATAGATGGGACTGCGAATTTCTTTGGGATCTGGACGTCTGTTATATGTCGTCCGAATGGAGAATCCGCATAGCAGGTTCGTGTTGCCATGTCAAGAGGACGAGGAACCCCTGGCATGCCATTATACTTTTCTCGCAACTCTTTCAACTCTTGCATGATAAAGGCCAACGGTTCCGCCATGTCCATATGCATCTGCGGACCTCCTGCTTCGAAATACGCTCCCGCCTGAGACACCCTCTGTTCGGATGGTGAGCGTATGACGATAGTTTCCGGATGTTGCCGTCTTGGATTGCCGAAGTCGACATCTCCGATCATGTCGTCACGCTCGGAAATGTGTCGTCCTTGATGTTCAGCAAACAAATTGCGAAACACATTCCTTCTGGGGAGTGGTGCAGGACGAGATGATTGCCCCCTTCCACGTGTTGAACCGGCCAGCGAAAGGGGAATGAAGGGCTCCGTTGAAGTCGACACAGGGATAGGGATCGGCATCTGCTGGTTGACGGTCTGCATCCCCGATGTCGTCGTTTTGGTTCGCAATGAATCCGGGAAGAAGCACATGGGGATGCTTGCTTCTGGAGTTGTCGCTGGGACAAGAGGTTCATAGGGTATGAGCTGCGAGATCGCCGGGACACCTTTAGCATATGGATCAAAGTTTGAAAGTCCCGGGAAAGCTTCGGACGTGAATGTGACTGTTGAGGTTGGGACTAGTATGGAATCTACGCCCGACTTTGATGCGGCAGTCATTACCTCTTTCCCTTTTCGTGATTTTGACGCTATGGACGCCACCGATTGAACTTGGGATCTCAAGGCGTCATTTTCTCCTTGGAGAAGAGTTATTCGTTGACGCATTTCCTCTCTTACGGCCTCTAGCTGGATTTGAGTATCCTCCTTTGACTGGTTAGCCTCCTTGGCCGCACGTAATTCTTCCCGGAGGGCTTCCAATTGTGCCGCTTCGGCACTTTTGGCCGCGCGGAGCTCCTTTCGGACAGCATCAAGCTGCGCTTGCATCTCATCAAATAGGGGATTAGAGCTTCCGGCCATCGTTGATTCTTGTTTTGCAAGAATTTCCCACAGACGGCGCCAATTGTTTAAACACGAAATAATTTATCCTAGAACGGAGTAAAAAATGGGAATCAAGCAATATAGAATCAACTATGGAAGAATTGGTAAAGAAAGGAATTTGATATATGATGATCAAGAAGAAGGATCTTCACAATATGCTTTTGAATTACAATGTAGAGACTGAATGTATGTGTATTCGTAACTGAATGTGCTGATTACATAGAGCCTCTAGATATTTATAAGAGATACATTTAATGCACTTTTGTCCGTTGACGACATGATCCGACCGTTACGACGACATGTCCGACCGTTACGACGACATCAATATCGTCATTATTGCATCATCAATTCTGGCCAGCCCTTTGAGTAACCTATGTCATAATTACAATAACTACTCTAATTATATACATAAAACTGCCCAGATTTAATTAGCTAGCATTAATCCCAATGAATGCGTCATTGATTGCCACGGTCAACCATTTTTGAATGTAGTCAAGGCCGCCCAACTCGTGTACCAACATTGAGAAATATTTTTTTTCTCATAAAAAATGCTACATACGTAGTATGTACTAAAAAAACACAGGATTGGCACGAAATTTTGGCATGGATTATCGATTTTTCGTGCCAAATGGCTCGTGCCAAGTGTTTTTGGCACAGATTTGCCATAATCCCGACCAAAATCCCTGTCTATCCCTGCATGTACTCAAACATCTTACATGGTTGTATTTTGAAGTAAAAAGAATATAGCACCTTTCGGGACCATTTGCTCATAAGTTTGAAGTTTCGGTAGTAGCAGCATAGCACGGTGGAAGAAGCAATTGTGCATACTAATGTGCACACCAAAATATACTCAGTGTTATATATGGCCAATACGACCAGCTTGCAATTCTTTTGACAGAACATGGGCAGCATTTATCAATTCCAGCAACGGTAATTTATTTAATTGTACAATCGCAACTTTTGGGTGCGAACGGTTATTGGCTTAGGTTTCCCTTTTTATATTAGTATAGATGTGAATAATTAGAATTTCAGTGATTTATTATTGTGAATTATTATTGTGAATTATTAGGATTTTAGTTCATTCAAATGTTAGTTAATTTATTGTGAATTATTAGTATTTCAGATAAAAGTATCAGTGAATTATTATTGTGAATTAGCATTCAAATGTTATTTAATTGAAATGGTTAATGCATTTAATTTAGGATTTCAGTTCATTAGTTTATAGTATTAATTGAATTTTAGTGTTAGTTAATTAAAAAGGGTTTGTGAATTTCTATTGTGAATATAAATCTTTTCTACATTTTGAAATATATATTAAAGTGTAGTTAATTGCAATTGTTTGTAAATTAATACATCAAAAATATTGTTGAATTATTATAGTAAATATATTTCAAATTGGTTTTGAAATATATATTAAATATAACTCATTATTTGTAATGGTTATAATATAGAGCTTTTAGCCAATGTAATATTTTAGTAATAATTTCAGGTATGATGTAAAGACTAAATAGAAATTGAATGTATGATAGACATGACGGAAATAGAGGATTCTGACCAGAATTTCTTGATAGAGTTAAAGATTTTCTTACATTTTGACTTCAACAAAGAAGCTAAGGTATATGGATGGAGATAATAAATTTAGATGTTTGTATCGTGCAAAGTGTAAAACATCAAATTTAAAGACTGAGGAAGTAGGGTGACATTTGTATATGAAAGGTTTTGTTGACAATTATTATAATAGAACTTCTCACGGCGAACCTTTCGAACCATCACTTTATAATAGTTCATCTTGTAACGTCCCTACCGCCTACCGAGTTGAATGGGTGGAAAACTTCCCAAATTGTTTTGCAAAGTCTATTTTTTTTTTCAACCAATGTTAAACTTAAATCTTCCTTATTGATACTTGTTAGGTCCCTGTTTCTAAGATCTAGAAATATGAAATAGTGATCGATCAAATGAGGTAATAAGAAAGTTTCCATTGATGAACAAAGGGTTACAGAATGATGAAGTATATGTAGCGTAAAACCTCCATTACACAAGAATAGGCTCTACGGCTCAGGTGGAATATTGTCTGGGAAAGCTTACCTATCCATTCCTTAGAGGCATATTTATAGCAGCTGGGAATATGTAGGTCAATAATCATTGGTGACACGCCCGGACCTATCCGGACACGTCAATAACCCGCCGAACAATACGAACAGTTAAACACCTCCATATTATACAAGGCGTCTCGAATATCATTCACACATAAGTCATCCATAAACCAACATAACAAGCAATTCCAACGGAAAAAATAGTTTAAAACAATAGCGATTAATTGTATTTTTAATTTGTGCGGGTAATTTGTAATTGAGATAATGTTCCTCTTCTAATTAATATGTTTTAAATCTAATTTTGATGAAATTACTTAGAAATTGTTAACTGATCGATAATTTGATTTTTCCTACTGAGATTTCGAATTTTTTTATTTTTCTTCATCATTATATTAAGTCAATTTTTCCATGGATTTTGTATAATTCAACTCCCAAATAATTTAATTTTACTCAAAAATAATTAGTTTCGAAAGCCTTCACTATAATTTTTCAAAAAAATACCGAAAACTCTCTACGAATTGTTTTTATTATATTCTAGTCAAAAATAGTTATCTATTTTTTTAATTAACAAAATATAATTCACTCCAACAAAATTGTTCGTATTCTCTGTTTTTTTAATTTTCAACCAAATCAAATTATTTGGGGGGGGGGGACTTTTGCACGAAAGTTATTTAAATTTTTATAATTCGATTTTTTTGTTATAATTATATTAAATGTATTGTTTCGAAAATAAAGAATACAAAAAAGTATATCTTCTTGTTTCATCAAATTGAAAAGTATGAAACACACGTATTTATTTATTAAATTTAACAACCAACATTACTGATAATTCAAATCAATACTGATACAAATCATCAGTACTGATAAATAAACATACAACATTACAAATAACTTCAACTTGAAGGTTTTTTTTCATCATTACTTTTTCTTCTCTCCCATGCTTCTTGAGCTTGATTCATCGTCGTCAAAGCTGTCTAAGCTTTCAAGTGATAAAATCAAGTCTAGGAATGAGACTGAAACCCAATAAGTATTCATCTACTGTAGCAACCCAACCTATGAGTGGAGATCCCACAATATACTACAAGCTTTCTTAGCAAGCTTCACAACCATTTTCCATTCGTTGTCCTCTTCATAAGTTGGATCATGTCTCTTATTCACTGGGCTCAAAATGGAGAAATTAATAGGTCTGGTCCATTCTTTTAAGAAATTAATTTATAACTAAATTAATTGGATATTTTAAATGATCCAAATTAATTTAATCACTAAATTTTATTCGAACGGAACCATATATATTAATATTTTCCTTTTGATAAGACGGATATCATTCTCGAGCAGTCCACTAGAATCCAACTTTGACTCTATAAGAGGCCGGCCAATAACCTGGATAATAGCCCAGTAACTATCACAAGTGACCCAATATTTTTTTTAATGTCCACAGTTCAATACCTCAATACATTTTGTTAAAATTATTTAACACGAAAAGAAATTAAACCCGCAATCAACTAATAAGTTGATTAATCAATAGCATGTCATTAAAAACGTACTACAAGAGAATCAATTCACAAAAACATGAGTACACCAAGTATTATATTAAAACTAAAACAAAGCATGCTTAACAATGATTAATGGGATCATGGGAGTCGTCATCAGAAAGTAACAAGGGTTCCATAGCTGCCTCACCCTTCCTAGGTGTGGTTAATTAGGGTTTTCATTATCATTTTCTTCGGCTATTTTCGTTTTGAGAAGGTCAACAACACTTACAAGGGCGTGATCAGGGTTTTCATTCCTCAGCAAGTGCTCACCCACCTCGGCAGGGGTCACCTTTGCCTTCGCCAACAGGTTTTGAATCTCTGGGAAAAGCAAAAAATGTTCCTCAATTCCCAAATAGTTCTTCGCCAAAGTCAAGAACGCGTCAAACGTGCAATAGGACATGTGGATGTGCACATCCATCCGACCCGGCCTCAAAAGGGCTGGGTCCAATCTTTCCTTGTGGTTTGTGGTGAAGATGATGATCCTCTCATCCCCGCAGCTCGACCACAACCCGTCAATGAAGTTCAGTAGTCCTGACAAAGTCAGCGCCTGCTTGAATTCACATACAACATTATAGGTTGGTTTTAGTAAGGTTGTTGTGCTGGACAACATTGATCATAAACAATGATTAAAGTTAATTGATAATAGCAAATAATATAATTAAGACATTTCAAATTAAAATTTAATTGAGAATCGATATATACTAATAAATTGAATCTATTTGACTCAAAAGAGTCTATTAGGACGAAAAGAGTAGAATATAAAAACAACATTGCAAATACTAATAACAAGGGGTGAGAGATATAAAAAGAGGACTTACATTTCTGTCTTTTGATGACTTTTTGGCAGGGTTAGAGAGAGCTAGTTTGTTTGTGATTCGGTCAGTGATGTCAAGACTGCAATCAATGTCTTCCACAACTAGTATAGATCTGTTCCCTGTTGAGAGAAGAATGTTTTTCAAATCAGAATTGCTAAAGACACCAGTCAGCTCAAGATCATATATGTCAAACTCGAGGTAGTTAGCTATGGCTGCTATCAAGCTTGATTTTCCGGTTCCTGGTGGGCCGTAAAGTCATTAGTACATCGTAAACATTGGTGTTCATATTTTATGCACAAAAATGGTGCTTTCAAATAATGCATAGTTTGCGGTTGCACAAACTATACTCCGGTAGCTAGTGCACGTACCATTGTCAAATTAAATCTAATGCACCATAGTCATCGACTTTTTGCATTAGGCCGATTTTTCATTTGATCTCAAATTATGGATTTATTATGAATTGTCTTCTTTTTAACGTTTTGCATTACGCCGAATTGTAACAATTGCATCTTTCCACACGTAATATAAATTGATCTTCATTTTATACATACTTCTGTGTTTATAACTTAAACCAAGTCTAACTCTTGAAACAATAATAGTAATGTGATTTGCTATTTATGATATACTCCGTATGTGACAAAATTCTAGTGTAAGTTGGTCATCACTCAGAAATTTTTTTGAATATGTCAGTGAGTCTACAACCCCCAAGATATAGATTTCATAGATCCGCCACTAAAGGTATGGTTGGTGTAATTAATCTCTTATGGTTTTAAATTTAATTATCCTATCTAATATGGAATATCTATTTTCATTTTATTTTTGGTAATTTTGACTCATTTGAGGAGTCCTTACATGCATGCGATTCATGCGAACACACACATACATAAATGTGTTTATGTGAGTTATGTATATTGTGTAACAAATTAGTAATCCATCCATATAACGTTATTAATCTTAACTTCATGTGGAGTATATAAATGAATTTGTCAATAGAAAAACGAAATAAATCGCACCAACCACAAAAATTACCAAAAGTGTTTTTGTAGATAGTGACTAAATAAGATAGGTTGACCAATGTTTAATGAAACATACCTATCAAGATCTTCCATAATGGATGTCTTCAACTCGGTATCCATAGCTAGTGTCTGAAAGGTGGAAGGATGGTCCAGCTTGACGAACTTCCACTTATTATGATCAGAACGACTATTATAAGAGTAGCCCAAGCCGTGATCTAGTCTCATGGAGAAGAGCTTGGGAGTCTTTTGCTCGAGTTTGCCTTTGACTGACTCGGCCAATATGAAAGGGAAGTAGGCGTCAAACACCATCTTCTTGTGTTTCTTGTGAAAGGTGAGGGTGAAGGAAGCCGATGAGTAGTCTTCAAAGCGAGGGAGATCGCCATTCCTTCGCTTTGCAGTGACTTTAGTCCACGTGAACGAGACGCCGTTGAAACGGTCAACGACTTGCTCGCCTTGGTCTATGGTGGTAGAGATCTTAGCCTCGTCCTGTGGGATGGCGACGCGTAAGCGGTAGGAGGCGGCTGAGTCGGACAGGCCGTGCCGCCTCCCGAGATACGACTCAGCCGCCTCGTACATTAGGTTTTTGCCACCGTCAGTCCGCTCTTGGATGACCAGTTCCATGGTGGGAGAGAAGAACTTGAGGAGGACGTTGACGACGCTTGACCGGACACGGTTCTGGAGTTCGTAGGGCAATATGTTCCGGGCCATCATCGCCGATGCCGCCACTGATGCCGCGGCTTGTAGAATGGTTTTCGTGGACACCATACTTTGCTAGCCTTGATATTTGGATGAGTAATTAATTGTGTGTGACTTATGTATATAAATTAAGTGGTATAAGCATGAAGATTGGGTCAAAGAAGAAGTGAACATGATTTTCGTGCCATTCCTAATTCGTATGAGAAAGAAAACATAAAGTGAAGCCAAGTACACAAAAAGCTTCGCACCAAATGTTCACGGGCATAGTGTGTCAAGTACAGAGTACGTTAAGTTAATTTACTTATTTACCCATTCTCAAACAATTGGCATCTACTAGACTGGTTCACAAATCACAACACATCTAGTCAAGGGTTATTCCTTACCCTGCCCCACCATTGGCAGAGCGTGATATGGCTAATCAGGAAGCCGACACTAAAATAACTTATATTTGGTCTGGTCTGGTCTGATCTAGTTTGGTCTAGTCTGGTTTGGTCTGGTTTGATCTGGTCTGGTCTGGTCTCTGTGTATTTTATAATTACGAAAGTCTGGTCTGATCTGCGACTGAAAACAGTCCAAAAGAAAATATCCTAAATATTTATACATACTCGTATGTGATATGTATACACATCACTAATATTTTTTGGGGGGCGAGACCCAACCAGCCTCCCATGTCTCCACCTTTGTACCTCACCCTATTTTTATAAAGATATTTGTAAAAAAGTTCAGTTGGTTACAAAAGAAAATTGCTTGCATACGGGAAACTTAAACATTCAAGTCAAAACAATTACAAGAAAAAGGATCATATTAGTGATCACATATCAGACGAGATCCCAATCACGTATGGAGCTCAATAGCTTTGATTTAGCTATGAGTTTGTATAGGGAGGACTGCTCTAGTTGCACTTTGTTTTTTCATCCTTATATCTTGTACTTTGTTTACCCCCAATAATCGTGAACTGGCCGACAACATCAAAACTACTTTCGTTGTCCGGTAGTACTGTCGTAACACGCATTGCCTAGCTAAAGCATAAGCTATGTATAGATTCATGAACCGCATACAAAAACAAAGACTAAACTTTCTCTTTGTTTTGAAAAGATATAGAATATCCGCAGATGAAAATAAGAAAGCCCTTTCACCCAATACTCCTTGCACAACCGTTAAAGCATCGCATTCATATTTCACACATTCCTGGCCATCCTAAATTGTGGCAGTGGCAGCAAACCGAACTCCCATTGCTTCGATTTCGGTCGGACTTTAATCACCTGGTTTGAATACAGTGAAGGCTTTAATAAATTTTCAATGATTAGTACGGACAACCCAACTCCACGTCCTGAGACCTCTCACCTCATTAACTGCACCATCTATATTTTTAAAATATATTATAGATGGTGCAGTTAAAGAGGTGGAAGGTATATTAGAGGCTTTAGAGCTATGAGATGGATTGCCCGTATGGATGGTGGAGTTGATATCTTCAAATGTTTTGTTAAAATAATTTGAAGCTAAAAGAAGTTAAAACTCCATTCACGTAAGTTGATTAAATAATAGCATGCCTTTAACAACGGCAATTAAGACGATCAATTCACAAAAAAGAGCCACTTAAATATAAACAAAATAAAAAGGTAAATAAAGTGAAATAAAGAACATCTTTCAAGATAGTTAGTACTGTAACAGTACCAATAACAATACACCAAGTCGTACATTAATATTAAAGCTCAAACAAAGCACACTTAATAATAATTAAGAAGACTCATCATCAGACCCGTCATCAGACACGTCATCAGACTCGTCATCAGAATGTATTAAGGGTTCCATAGCCGCCTCACCCTCTGCCTGCTGGTTAGGGTACTCTTCATTTTCATTTTCGGTTATTTTCACTTTTAAAAGTTCAACAAGACTTTGGAGGGCATGGTCAGGATTCTCATTACTCAGCAAGTGCTCACCGACCTCTGCAGGGGTCACCTTTGCCTTCTCCAACAAATTTTCAATCTCTGGGAAAAGCAACAAATGCTCCTCTATTCCCAAATAGTTCTTAGCCAAAGTCAAGAAGGCGCCAAATGTGCAGTAGGACATGTGGATGTGCACATCCATCCGACCCGGCCTCAAAAGCGCCGGGTCCAATCTCTCCTTGTGGTTTGTGGTGAAGATGATGATCCTCTCGTCCCCGCAGCTCGACCACAACCCGTCAATGAAATTTAGTAGTCCTGACAAAGTCACTGCCTGGTTGAACGAATATACAACATTGTAGGTTAGTTTTCGTTTGGTTGTTGTGCTCGAAAACATTGATCATAAGCAGTGATTAAATTTTATATTACTCTCTCCCTTTAATTTCAAAATAGAATGTCATCTATGTATTATTTGATTTTTCGCTCCAAATCAATATAAACTACAAAATCTGTGACAAACTTGTCAAGGACGTAATCCGTGACAACATTCGGTGACAAAAACGCTGTTTTTTTGTAGTGAGTAATAAAATATAATAATAGCAACAACAATAATAGTAATAGTATTAATAGTAATAATATTAAAGAGGACTTACATCTCTGTTTTTTGACTTTTTGGGGGGGTTACATAAGGCTTGTTGGTTTGCAATTCGGTTAGTGATAGTACCACTGCAATCAATATCTTCCACAACTAGTATAGATCTATTCCCAGTGGAGAGAAGAATGTTCTTCAGTTCACAGTTGGTACGGACAGCAGTCAGATCAAGATCATATATGTCAAACTCAAGGTAGTTAGCCATGGCTGCGATCAAGCTTGATTTCCCCGTCCCCGGTGGACCATACAGCAAATACCCTCTTTTCCAAGCTTTCCCAACTTTCCTGTAATACTCTCTTCTCCTCACAAACCTATAAATGAACACATGGAAGTTACAATGTCAATATTTGTGTTTGTATTTAAAATACATACAGTATATAAAAATGCGGGGGAGTGCTTTCAGATGGTCAATAGTTCGCGATTGGAGAAAAATCAGTTTATTAATGAAATAAAACATTTTGCAAATATGTATGTCTGTATGTATGTATACAAATTAAAGATGTGTGTGGGTATAGGACTTTAGGTGTGGAGTAATGTATTTGTAAAGAAAGATGATGTGTTGTGATTAATTTCTTATAATTGTATTTCCTATTATTCGACTTAAATAGATCAAACAAGACCACACTTCGATATTTATAAATATATAGAGAGACTAGACATTTATCATAATAAACCAGGAATTTCTATCCAATTAAAAGCATCCTTAGTGAGACATACCTATCAAGATCTTCCATAATGGATATCTTCAACTCGGTATCCATAGCCAGGGTTTGAAAGGTGGAAGGATGGTCCAGCTTGACGAACTTCCAATTCTTATCAGCACCATTCATACTATAAGAGTAGCCATGATCTAGTTTCATGGAGAAGAGCTTGGGAGTCTTTTGCTCGAGTTTGCCTTTGATTGATTCGACCAATATGAAAGGGAAGTAGGCATCAAACACCATCTTCTTGTGTTTTTTGTGAAAGGTGAGGGTGAAGAATGGGGAGCACTCTACTTCTGAGCTGGAGTAATATTCATCATCACTGCTTCTCTTCGCAGTGCTTTTAGTCCATGTGAAGGTGACGCCGTTGAAACGATCAATGACTTGCTGGTCTTTGTCTATGGTGGTAGAGATCTTAGCCTCGTCCTTCGGGAGGGCGACGCGTATGCGGTAGGAGGCGGCTGAGTCAGAGAGACCGTGGCGTCTCCCCAGATACGACTCGGCCGCCTCGTACATTTGGTTTTTGCCACCCTCCGTGAACTCTTGGATGACTAATTCCATGGTGGGAGAGAAGGACTTGAGGAGGACGTTGACGTGTGACAGGACGCGGTCGTGGAGCTCGCTGGGCAATATGTCCCGGGCCAGTGACCGGACCATCACCGCCGATGCCGCCACTGATGCTGCCGATTGTAGAATGGTTTTGGTAGACACCATGTTCGTTTTTTTATTTTACTTAGTTCTATAGTTCAAAAGAAAACATCCGTAGTCCTGGAATGAGGAATCTATAGTTCTATCCAAGCTTTGCTATCTCCGTATTTCATTTCATATACAAAAATTCATGTTTGTACTACTCAATTAAATTAACTCCTACTCCATATTATTTAGGGATCTACCAAAATAAAATCTCATATTTTTTTAAAATGCTATAACTTTTTTATATGTACTCCAATGGTTACAGAAAATATATCAAATTTCATAATTTTTTATAATCTTTCAAATGACATCAGTATTGAATATATAAAAATTTAAAAATAATTTAATACTTTAAAAAACATTTGTTTTTAAAGTTATTGAACTTTTTTATTTGTTCTCCAATTGTTACAAAAGTTTATCAAAAATAATACTCCCTCTGTCCCTAAATTTACTTCCATTTCGCTTTTCGAGAGTCAACTTAAATCACTCTTAAACTCTTACTTTTTGTATCAAAACATTATGAAAATTGATTTTTTTTGTGCAGGCGTTGTAGCGGGTTTAATGTAGTTTCTGAATATGTAAATTTTATTTACTAAAAATAATCCGAGTTTTCACAGGGATCATTTAACTTTATCGTCGGTCAACCTTCGTAATCCGCAATCGGAAGAACATTCAGGGACGGAGGGAGTAACTTTTTTTATCTTTCATATGACACCAATATTGAATATATAAAGATAAAAAAGTATTTAACACTATAGGAAACATCTACTTTTTAAAGTGCTATAATTTTTTTAATTTTTCCTCGATTGCTAGAAAAAAATATCAAAATTAATACTCGTAACTTTTTATTATCTTTCATATGCAATCAATGTTTCATGTATAAAAATAAAAAAAAATAGTTATACTAATTTGTGCAATTTAGGATTGTTTTTTACCGTACGCACCATTATGCAGGTAAAAATAATTCAAAAACCCAAATTTTGAAAGAGTGTGAGGTAAGTACCCTAAACTTGCACATCTTTATATAAAAAGTTATTTGACATCATGATCATAAAATTGTTTCACAAATGTAATTTATGGTGTTAAGAAATTAGTTTAAAATACATAAAGCACTTATGAGAATGCAATTAAAAATATATTGTATCAGATGCATTATTATTTAACAACATCCAAACATAGATTAGAGCATTTAAAGTTATGTACTTATTGCGGAAAGTTTATATTTGTATAAACCATATAATCACGGTGAGAAA